TTATGTTCCTTAGCTGGGTAATGAAACGTCTTGCAAGAAAACAACCAAGCCTGGAAAGCACCCTCACTCAATCCTGTTAATAGTATTCTCATTTATCGTTATCTTGAGGTTCTTTTATGTTTTCATTTCTGTTCTTATTTATTTTTGATGTTCTTTTTTTAAATTGTGATATGGCTTTGTTATTCTGCTTGTAAAGCCGCCCAGAGTAATTTTTATGAAATGGGCAGCTACACAAATTTGCGAAATAAATAAAATCCCCTGAACAACTTTACACAGTTCTTGCTGTCCGGGAAGAACAATTCATAACACTGACAAGGCTTGACCCTTCCTCTCCACTGAAACCCCAAAATAAAATTTATGTGAATCTGTCACAAAAGGCACAATCGTTTCCCAAAGCAATCTGTGTTAACAGTTAACGGAAATTAATTCATGCACATACCTCTGAAACAAATTTTGTTGTGGCATCACTTAAGGTTTTCAACATTGGTGTCGCTTCAGCGTAAAATAAGGACATTCTGTTGGCCAATTCATTGTTTACTTCGTTTTCCCCTTCTGCCTACCAAAAGTGAAAGTAAACGCTTGCATGATTAAATGGGTCAAGGAGAAAAGAACACAGGGAATCATTTTCTTCTATTCTATTTAAAAGTTCACCTACTGGGACATTGTTGATTCTCATACGACTTAAGGTTCTTCTGTAATAACTGAAATCATTCTGAATTGCAGGATTTGTCATCTTAAAAAAAAAAAGAGAGATACAAGGTCAAGACACCAAGAACACCTCATGACAAAATTACATACAAGCCTGGGCAACTCAGTTTCTGATGCCCCAAAATGACACCCACAGAGCCTCCATGAAATATTGAAAAAAAATTAATTGCCAAATCTTGTGAATCAGGATCTTCATGTGAGAATACATGACACTGGAGGAGAGAATATGCCAGTTCTTGAAGCAGAGGAATCCTAAAATCAAGTTTAATATTTGGAGAACGCGTGAGATTTTCTACCCTTTTCTACTTTCTTACCTTCTTATAATTTGTATGCCTATCCATTATGAACACTGTTAAGTCTTGGTGACTCACGATCAAATTATTAGGATTTTATTAGGTGAAATGTCAACCTCTGCCTTAATTTGTTCAAAAGAGGGCTGAATTTCTAAGTTGTAAAAGGCGGAGAAATTAGACATATTTATTTGATTTTTTAAAAATCCTGCCTTTATTGCTTAATAGGTAACTCAAGGCAGTGATGCTCTTTCCTCCTCCTATTTTCCCAACAGTAACCACCCTGAGATAGGCTGGACTGAAAGTGACCGACTCAAATTCCCCCACCCAGCTTTCAAGTCTAAGGCAGGACTATAACTCACAGCCTTCTAGTTTGGCCCAAACTCCCCAGCCAGCCTATATGCCTAATAAATAGATATAAATAAAATGGCATTTCAAGGCCAAGCCACTTCAGCAGCATTGATGATCATGGTTCAGGACCTGATCACATATAAAGCTTAATCAACTGGACTATTAGAGATACTCCAAAATATAAATGAGCCAAAATAGTGGGTCTGTGACATAATAATCAGCATTACCAGATCTCTTCCTCTGAAGATTTTCCACAGATTGCACTGAAGTGAGGGATAGAATGGCAAAACTAGAATGGCTCCTGATCTGATTCAGGTCTCTTATTTATATCCTTAAAGTTAGCTATTTATATTCTTAATGTGGATTAATAATCCGACTCCTCTAACAAAAAGGTTGACTAGTAAATATGCATGTTTGAAAAGAATCTGTTAGAAATCTATTATTTCTGCAACAGATGGAAATAGGAAAGAAACACGTCTAAGTACCTCCTTATTTGTTTTAAACACAATCTGAAAGGAGACCAAACCTCAGTGTCAATAATGTGACTTGGTGATCAGCCAACCGTTCAGGAATTACTCTGTTGTATTTACCTTCAGTTCGTCAAACCGAAGCGTGAAATGAAGGATTTCTGCAAACTGCTTAGCAAGAGCCTGCTCTCGCTCCAGATGCTGTGTAGGAGAATATGGAGTGCTAGTCAGGGCCCCGAGGAGACCTCGTAAAGCAGATTCTATTTTGAGGGTGAAAAAAAAAAAAGAAAGACAAGGCATAGATCAAACGCTGGGGACGTGTTGGAATATCTTGGCATAATTCACAGTTACAAAAACAGGGTGCAGTTCAAGTGTGACAAAATCCTAGGTGTTGGTGTGTTGACTCTAAACAGTCGAGTTTAACCTGGCTCCGAAAGAAAAGAGAAGAAAAAACTAACCAGTTCTTGCCTAACTACAGATACATTGAACATTTACAACTCAAAACACCACCAGCAGCAAGTTGCCAAAATCATGGAGGGGTGTGATATTGTTCTTAAAAGTCATCTCCATCTGTCACGCTAAAATGGATTGAGGGGTTTTGCAGTTGCTAATCTAAGCTTGTGTGAAGTGGAAATACAGGAAGTTTGCTAATGGAATAAAATAAATACTCCGAACTATTGCGGGCATCGATGAGCCAACAGTCTTACCTAGCCTCTGAGAAAATTCATAGAATTTCTTTAGTTTGCCCACTAGGGGGACAACTGCACCCCACGCCTTCTCTTGCAGTCTCTCGTCGGTGGGATGCTGTATTGCCTGAAAAAAATTAAAACGTATATTTCATAAAAAAAATAGGAGTTCCCCTTTACCCCTACCCTTTCTGCAATATTATCTTTTTATTATTGATTGATTGGTTGATTAGCCTTTAGGCCACAAGAACGTACAAGGTTCAAACATGTATTACCAATAAAATCCTATACAAACAATTTAAAATCAGAGTAAGATAAAATACAATAATTTAATAAATATGGAGTAAAATGACATAAAATTATATTTCTGTATCCCCCCTGCAATCTACCCCAATCTTTAATATTATCTAATGACAAAGTAGAGGCATCAGTTTGTATGCTGTTTAACGTTCTGGGGAAAGAGAGAGGTACAAGGATCTAAACGTTTTTCACTATATACGTTATGCTATGAGGTCAATAGCAACACTATGAGGATCGCCTTTTGTAACAAATGTGTGATGCAAAGACAAACTGGCAATCAGTGTGTATTTACAATGGTTGCAGTGCTCCGTGTTCATGTGATCTCCACTTTGCAACCTTCACAGCAGACTTCTGATTTGCAAAGCCGATGGGGAAGACAGCAGGAAATTGTCAGTTGCAGTTAGGGGACATCATGCTTAATGACTATGGGCAACCTACTTAATGACCATAGCCAGAACTGATGGGCTGCTGTTATTAAGTTGGGAATGGTCACATGATTCTTCACTTTACAATTGTACATGCCATATGGCCAGGAGTTTGATCCTGACCTGGTTAAGGTTGACTCAGCATTCCATTCTTCAGAGGTTGTTAAAATGAGGACCCAGGTTGTTGGGGGAAATATGCTGACTCTGTAAACTGCTTAGAGGTGGCTGAAAAGCACAGTGAAGCGGTATATAAGTCTAAGTGCTATTGCTACCATGTTCCCCCGAAAATAAGACCTGAACAGAAAATAAGCCCTAGCATTTTTCAGGGTGCTGGTAATGTAAGCCGTACCCCAAAATAAGCCCCAGTTAAGGTCATCAGACAGGTGGATGCATTTAATACCGTATTTCCCCCAAAGGCCTATCAGGAAAATAAGACTTAACGTGTCTTTTGGAGCAAAAATTAATAAGACCCGGTCTTATTTTCAGGGAAACACAGTATTAGTGACAGAATTGCCAGTCCCAAGGGCACTCTTTGATCCACATAATCATGGATCAAAAAGTGGGTGAAAGGAGATGCCTTAAATAAAAGATATCCTTAAAGGGAGCAGTGTGGTGGTAACACAACGAATGAGAAATAGATGTAATTTATTTGTAAGCAATTGATTACTTACATGGAAAAGTATAAAGCAAACCCTCTGGATGATTTCTAAAGACATGCTTGATCAAGACCAGGGTTCTTTTTTTCAAACTTGGCAACTTTTAAGATGGGTGGATTCCAACTCCCCAAATTCCCCAGCCAGCATAAGGCTGGCTGAAGTCCACCCAGAGTTGCCAACACTGTATTGGAAAACATTAATCGAGACTCTTGACCCACTGAGTACACTTGTAAATATTATGTTATGGCTAGTTAAACAAACATTTTATACCATTTTCTCACTTAAGATATCAAGAGGCCTTCACTGATCAAAAGGAAGCTTGTGGGCGCTAGGCTTTTAGAACAGGATTCTTGAATTGAATATCTGATGAAGTTTTACCTCTCGTATTTCATGTCCAGCTCCTCTGTAGGACTGTAAGTCTTCCAGGATTCCTTCTGCATCCTTTAACACTACATTTACCTGATTGTAAATTTCCTTTTCTAATTCTGTAGGTTGAGCATCTACACATAGGAGAGAATATCAGGTCGCGTATGCAGTTATCCCCTTTACAAATCAAAATATTATGTCCATATTTTACTCCTAATTCTGTTAACAACTTTAGTGGAATATCTTTCCACTATGACATTTGATTTATTTGTCATAAAGATAATGTCTGCGTGGCTTAACTTTATTTATTTATATTTATCAATCAGTGGATCTTTTTTAACTGTTACATTGATGGTAGCCTTGTTTTATGTTTATTGGATCTGGTTTTATCAATTCAATTTCATATATCATTGCAAGAACCTTGCAGATTAAAGTAGTTCAACTTCATTTTCAGGCAGTATGTTCTTATGCTATGTCTCCACCACCAAATATAAAAATATTATCACTGTTCTAAAGGGATGTAGTTATATTATAGTTTCAAAATCAGCATCTTATGAAATTTTAGGTAGCATTCTGAATGATTCTAAGAGGCTAATAAAAAGAGATACTACAACTATCATAAAGCCATGTAGGCATAGAACATATTCTAATTTTATTTATAAAAATTTTTTACTCAAAATCAGGAACATTTAACACGTTTCTCTATGCTCTAGCAGTGCTTTTGGAAAATTAGAAGGCACTGAACTGTATACGACTTTGGATGTGAAAGGGGTGGAGGGGAAAGCATTCTACAGTGCATGGGAATAACATTGAAGCACCTCATTAAAGTAGCTGCATCTTGTTCCAGTGTCACACGGCTGCCTTTGCAGTGTAATCTGATAAAGATGGATATAGTTTAAGGAAGCCTTAATGAGGAGAATTTCTAAATGGAAATGCTCATTATGGTCTTAATCAGGAGAGTTACACACAGATACTTTGTTTGCCCATCCAGCAAATGAAGTTGCTGCAAAGCACCTGGACGGGCAAGCAAAACAACTATGAGCTGTGGTGGTGCAGTGGTTAGAATGCAGTACTTGCAGGCTACTTCTGCTGCCTGCCGGCTGCCTGCAATTTGGCAGTTCAAATCTGACCAGGCTCAGGGTCGACTCCCCTTCCATCCTTCCAAGGTTGGTAAAATGAGGACACAGATTATTGGGGGGCAAGAGGCTGACTCTGTAAACTGCCTAGAGAGGACTGAAAAACACTATGAAGTGGTATATAAATCTCTTGCTATCTGTGTGTAACGCTATGGATTAAGACTATAATGAGCATTTCCATTTAGAAGTTTTCTTTATTAAGGCTGTGCAGCCCTTCAAATTCAAAGCAGAAAAGATTCTTTGGAGCATGCAGTGGTACACTTCATCTCACAATCAGGAGGCTGTGAGTTTGATCCTAGGTAGAGGCAGATATTTTCTCTCTCTGGGCACAATGAGAATATATCTGCTGAACGAAACTCCACATTGGCAACAGGAAGGGCATCCGGCCATTAAACACACTACTAGCTCCTTTTAGTTGCCCAAACTCCACCCTGCAAGGGATTATGGAGTCGTTAAAAGATGATGATAACAAAGTGGTACACTTGTATCACTAGGTCAGGGGTCCCCAAAATTGGCAACTTTAAGACTTGTGGATTTCAACTCCCAGAATTAAGCATAGCTGGCTGAGGAATTATGGGAGTTGAAGTCCATAAGTCTTAAAGTTGCCAAGTTTGGAGACCTCTGAACTAGGTGATAACTCCTTAAACTACATCCATCTTTATCGGATTACACGGCAAAGGCAGCTGTGTGGCCCTGGGGGAAAATGCAGCTACTTTAATGAGGTGTTTCATTGTTATTCCCATTCGCTGCAGAATACTTTTCTCCTTTCACATGCAAAGTATTATACAGCTCAGCACCTTCTAATTTTCAAAAAGCACTGCTAGAGAAGCCTCTTAATCTTTTGTTTCATTCAAATTGGAAAACTGTGATTATTCAAAAGAAACCAGCTTCACAATAAGCTTTAGGGCCCCCGTTTCTTTTGAAGTTGGTTTCCCGGTTCTGATAAAATAGGACATAATGGAGACTTGCTAGCTTTGCAAGATCCGCTCCGCTAGAGTTGAGTACAAGTTGTGGGCACCAACAAAATACTTAAAACATATTTATTATAACCTATAATTAATTTTACACTATAGCCCCTTTTTTCCTAAATGGATATTGTTGTCTCAAGTGAATATTCCTAACACGGGCTCATATTTTTTCATCCTTGTGTAACCCACTCTCATATAAATGAGCCAATAAAACGGAACTTAATTTATGGTTCAGGCATTGTCTAATAAGCTGCTTTTTCAGAAATGCATAAAAATAGCCAGGGCTTATGATACGTAAGTTAAAAACAGTTCTCACTTTCAAAATCCAGGAAAAAGTTTGGTCCCTGTTCAAGGTCTGTGCATGTCAAAACTTTAAGAAGGTTCCCCATGTTAAGATGCCTGTTGAGACAAAAACACATGTTTTCTTTAGGAAAGTGCTGAAAAATTAAGAGGTGGGGGGAGATGTATAGATTGATATAACTTGGGGAGCTTTCACTTCCTGTCAAGGATCAGCAGAGTGGACATATCCCTCCCAAATTCCCAATGTCCTATAAATGACAATTGGCTCTTCCATAACAAATGAAAGACACAAGAACCCCATTCTGTATCCACTAAAGCCACAGACCACACAGCTATCCAAGTATGATTATACTACTCTTCGTAGATTTAACAGATGCCTAGAATTGAAAGAGGCTCTTTGGACCACTGAATCCAGTCCCCTTGTCAGTAAGCAAATGTATATTTTCGCTTTGCCTACAGCTTATAGAATTGGCAGATCTGCATCCAGGTCTTCCTTTCTCTGCTGCTTTACATCACATTAACAGCAAATTCTCATAATCCTTTAAAATAGGGCTGAGCAAGTTAATGCCCTTAAAATGCTTTGCAGTATGACTTCCCAAAACAACTGATGGGAACTCTAATTCAGAGCATCCAAAAAGCAGAAAAGTTGCTTATTCCGCAATCTACATCATCACAGCATGTATTCAGCATAACTATACAGTTATAATTTTTCTTCAATATTAAGCCTTTCTCATATTTGGCTTCTTTTTTCTACACACAAATACACACACCATGTATCTTCTTGAACTATCTATAGAAAGGGATATCAAGTTTATGATTACTTACTTACATATTAATAACCAATATATACATTGAGGAGGAAAATATTTGTTTCTTTAATGCAGAGAAGAAAGGTATCTAATACAATACAAAGAAAAACCTATAACATTTCCAAAATAATGTTTCTCAAATCATTTTACCACTGAACCAGAGCTGAATGGCAATATTTCCTTCTCACCAACTGGCTTTAATAATGTTCTGCTACCCAGAAAGTATTTATCATTTATTGAGAAATACTAAGTACAATCCAGTTTAGTCAGCAGCTCGTTGTACATTTCACTTCTGAAATTGTTTTCCTTCACCCACAAAAGGTAGGTTTATTTTTCACAGCAAGCTGTGTTAAGAAAAGCTATAGGATTAAGATGGATGACACCCCTGAAATACTTCCTTTTAGGTCTAAGAATCTTAAATGCCGACAATTTAACAAGATGTCAAGCCCATGCTTTAAGGTATCATGTTGAGACAAATGATATTCTGGGAAAATCGGCAGCCTGGAACTAGGGTGGTGCAGGAAACCATCTGTTGAAAAAGCAATTATTGGTGCATGAATGAGGAAAATCTTGCTTCTACACAGTTCTGGGGCAGTCTGCATGCATTAAGATTAAAAAAGCAGGAGGATGCGTTTCTAAAGCTTTCCTATATGAACTCTTAAGGTCAAAACAGACTTGGGTGATTAATAAACTAGTCGCTACCTGAAATTAAAATCTTTCAACATCATGGAGCAAGGATATAGAATTAAACCTCCGATTCATTAGGGTTCGTTTTCTCTGAACTAACTACTCACCAGTTCCCACAGCTTATGATGCAACCACAGTAACCATAATGTAATATTGATTTATGGGGCAAAGGGAGAGAGAATCCCCAGTATAGCAATACATAAGCACTTCTAGCGGGCTTCTATATTAATAGAGCTCTCTATATTTATAAACTATGGTCAGATATAAATGCAAAGGGGAGGAAAACACATCTCCCCATCAGCCCTACAAAAAAACTACCATCGCTGAATGTTACTTACTGCCTGCTATTATTTAGCAGCCATTCTTTCAAGCTGAAACAGGTGTAGCAACGGAAGGAGGAGGAATTCAGCAGCTCAACTGAGAAATCGATAATTTTACCTGCCTTCTGCCTTTCAGCTTTTACCATTCTAGCTGGCACTGAAAGGAAGACCAACCACTTCTGCCTGTTTTATAGTATTGTTAACTACTGCAGGAAGTTACATAGAGCTACCGTGGTTCCCCAAAAATAAGAGCAGGTCTTATATTAATTTTTGCTCCAAAAGAAGCACAAGGGCTTATTTTAAGGTGAAGTCTTATTTTGGGGGAAATATGGTACTAAATGCATCTGTCTGGCTGACGATCTTAACTGGGACTTATTTTTGGGGTAGGGATTATGAGCATCCTGAAAAATCACGCTAGGGCTTATTTTCCAGTTGGGTCTTATTTTAGGGGAAACACGGGGTATAATGCAGAAGTCCTTGACCCACAACCATTCATCCAGTGACCATTCAGGGTTACAACAGCATTGCAAAAAGTGGCATAAATTATGACCATTGCAGACCATTCCCCCATGGTCATGGGATCATAATTTGGGTGCTTGGCATGAGGCATGCGTTTATAGCAGTTGAGGTGCCCTTGGGCGTTCACGTGATTTTCTTCTGTGACTTTCTGACAAGCAAAGTCAATGGGGAAGACAACCATATATATTAACTTAACAACTGTAAATATTCACTTAACAACTGTGGCAAAGAAAGATTGTAAAATGGGGCAAAACTCACTTAATAACAGTCTTGCTTAGCCATGGAAGATTGGGACTCAATTGTGATCATTAATTTGAAGCCTACCTGTATTAGGAAAGCATAGCAGAGAATTTTCACTTCCTCCAACCCTTTCCCATTTTTTTTTAGGCTGCATTGATAATTTAAAGCCAATTTTGGAAGGTTTCAAGTTAACAAAACTTGGAAGGGGAAGACATTAGGTTGAACGCTACAAGTACAAAAAGTGCTCCTTTGGACTCTAAAGTAAGAAGAGATAAATATAAATTCACTCCTGGTATTACATCATCTGGAAATGCCCACTAAATGTACAGTTTAAAACTGAAATCTGTTAAAATGGATTTACTATAGGTTGCTGACCCTCTAGAGTTAGGAATGTTTCTCCATATATCCAGAGGATTTGAAATGTTTTCAGGTTAGTGAAATAAAGTTATGATCCTTAGGGATCCTGAGTGCTCCAAATTTCTAGTCCTCTACACATGTAGGATTTAGATGGTGGTTCCTCCGTCCTATTTAAAAAAAAGGACTGGAGGCTGAATCTGGTACTAGATGTCAGTGAATTGGAAGAATCGTGAGTGTGGGCCTTCTAGACAGAAAGGGAAGCCATGGGTGGTCACTCTGAGAATTCGTCACAGTTTTGCTTGGCCTTACATACTTTCGCTCGCCCTCCCAACAGCAACGGGGTAGAAATATATGATTGGCTTCAACTGGAAGCAACAATCTGCAGTCCTTCAGTGCCTTGGAGACACTCCCAGAGCCTCGCTGCAAAGGGCACGGAGGCAACATAACCTCAGAAAATCAGATTAACAGAGTTGGAAGGGACCTTGTATTTTAGGTCATCTAGTCCAACCCCCTGCCCAAGCAGGAGGCCCTACATCATGTGTGACAACTGGCAGTCTAATCTCTTCTTAAAAGCTTCCAGTGATGAAGCTCCCACAACTTCCAAAGGCAAGCTGTTCCATTGGTTGATTGCTCTCACTGTCAGAAAAATTCTCCTTATTTCTAGGTTGTATCTCTCTCCTTGATCAGTTTCCATCCATTGTTCCTTGTCTGGCCTTCAGATGCTTTGGAGAACAGCTTGACCCCCCTTCCTCTCTGCGGCAGCCCCTCAAATATTAGAACACTGCTACTATACTCATGGCAATGGTCATTGATTGACAGAAGGCAGAATATATGAACGCTGTAACTTTGGTTCGACAAAAATATAATAATTTTCCTCTTAAGAATGAGACAGTATTCATCTATTTTAATGCTTTCCAATTTATCTATTTTTAGGCACTAATTCTCATTATCAGATGCTGTCTGATGGGAGATATTTAGAGACCGAAATGCCAATGACCGTGTGATTCATACCATTGGTTGGTCCAGATTTATACACCAAGATATTAGCCAACTCTGCTTCCGGCCCCTATAAGAACAGACACCAGGAATCAGTGGGAAATACTATTTCCAGCTTGACCTACTTTTGCAAAATTAGACACACGGAACGCTGCATTTGATTACAATGACTCGGCCCATTATAGCCTTATGGGATTGTCTGATGCAAGGGGCCATGTCAAAATCAGACAGGCAGAAAGCTGGGGCACATTTTCTAAACAAGACTTGCACGCATGGCCTTCATGCTGGATGCATCTGACACATTTTAGTTTGGGCTTAATTCAGAGGAAAACGCAATGGAATTACAAGCTGTAATACCAATTCTGAAGCATCAGAGATAACTCCCCTAGGGGCAAGAGTACATTAATAACTACTTTGTCCCCGATACGTGGCTTGGTGAGTGATAACAACCCCTCCTCCAATTTCAATACTTTTGGGAAGAAAACCCCCAAGATCAAGAATTCTTCTTCAAAGGCTCAAAATAACAAACTGCAAAGCTATTATACTTTTCATTTGGAGAACCACTATTGGAAGGTAGCAGGGCAGCTTCTCTATAAACCAAGCATATGCACATAGACCTCTCTATTTTTCCCTAAATGAAATTCAAAACACAAGAGATTGAAAGCTGACGTTTGTATCATGCAGGGTATACAATAGGGATAATGAAGCTGAAGTTGCAATGTGGAAGGATTTAATACTAATGAACGGAAGAGCCTGCCAAATGTTTAAATCACAGAAACCAACAGTGATCATGAATCAGTTCCCGTAATTTTTGATAATGGGTAAACAATGCACACAATAAAACTATATACGTGTTTTGATGTATCAATGGCATCCATCCATACAACCAACCAATCAGGGGTGGGTTTCTACTGGTTCTGTCCACCTCTGTAGAACTGGTAGCTCTGAACAGCAGCAGACATAGAACCGGTTCTATGTCTGCTGTTTTTGCCCACCCGGGCTCTTACCTGACCTTTATTTCCTGATTTTTTTCAACTTCAGCTGCCATGCGAGGCACGGCTGTAGTTAAAAAAGCAGGAAAAAAAGGGCTTTTTGAAAGGCTGCTTCTCTGCATGCAGCATGTTGATGATGATTTACAGGAGTCGGCCCGGCAGCGTGTAGGGAAGCACATCGTAAATCACCGTGTAAATGACCGAACTGGTAGTTAACCCTGTCGGATCCCACCCCTGCAACCAATGGCATTGAATGCATGTAGCCCTTGATTTACGACTACAATTGAATGTCAGGTGTGAAGAAGCTTCTTGGACGAGAAGCAAAATGTCTTCAAAAAGAAAAACAAGGAAGTCCCAGTTGCCTCCTGAAAAAGCCTCTTTGGGACAACCATGACCTGGATGACTGAGAATCTCCACAGACTTTTAGCTCTACGATTTGGGATAAACACCCTTGGAATGGTGTTGGGGGAAGAGGAATGGATTTCCAGAGGAGAAAAAAAAATTGTGGACTACAGGAACCATTTTCACTATTCAGGTGACCCTAAAGACACAGATAAAGTGCTTCAATTAACCTTTAAAAGGATGCCGATGACCAGCTGTCTGCAAGGAATATATATCCTTCCATTCCCCACCATCCTGTCAGAGCCGAAGAAGCTTCACGGATGAGAAGCAAAATGTCTTCAAAAAGAAAAACAAGGAAATCCAGTTGACTCTTGGAAATAGCACCTTTGGTACAATTGAATCCAAACTTTCCGCTGCTAAGCAAGACAGTTGTTAAATGAGTTTTCCCTGTAAAATGTATTGAGCATAATAAAGGAAAATATTTGTAGCTCAAGGTTGACATGAGGGGATCCTCAGTGCTCTATGAGCTCGCTGGTTTTCTTGCAGATGTTTCATGACCCAAACTAGATAACAACATTGGTGCTGGTAAGGAATGCTGTCTGTTGTCAGTTTATATTCTAGTGCAGTGCTGGCTAACCTTTTCAGCAACAAGGGCCCAAAGTGCGCGCACATCCCCCAAAATGCAACGAGCATGTGCGTCCCGCGCAGCCACCCCACTCACCATGCATGCATGCACAACCCCCCCGCCCCATTGTACATGCATGCACAACCCTGTGTGCGCCCTGCCCCCTGTGCGTGTGTGTTTGCCCCCCCCCCCCGTACCCCCATGCATGAGCAGCAGAGACCCAAAAACCAGCTGGCTATCGGGAGGTGCACATGCATGGCGGAGCTGAGCTGGAGCGGCGGCTCACATGCCCAGAGTGCCACCTGTGACATGCATGCCATAGGTTTGCCATCCTGGTTCTAGTGGCTTGTCCGTCAGTGTTGGTGGGGGTGGACCTGGAGATTAAGCATTCAGATCAGCGTAAATCAGGGGTTTCGAACTCAAGGGCCGGAGACCAAATCTGGCTCACGGGGTGCTTAGATCTGGCTGGTTGGGCCACTGTAGAAACAGCGAGGGACCGGCCCGCGGTGCCTCTGCCAGCAAAAATGGAGCTCTGGAAGGCCGTGCGCAGCTCTCCCAGACTCTGTTTTGGGCTGTGACGGCCTCCTGCATCCCTCTGCCAACGAAAAAGGAGACCGGGGAAGCTACCCACGGCCCGCCCAGGCTCTGTTTTCACTGGCAGAAGGCTGCAGGAGGCTGTCGCAGCCAAAAACAGAGCCTCGATGAGTGATGTCAAGCTGGGCATGCCCACCCCGGTCACACACACACACACACCCTGCCCCCCCCCCCAAGGTCAAACACAACCCTGATGCGGCCTTCAATGAAATCAAGTTTGACACTCTTGGCGTAGATTAACTCCAAGGTTAACATCAGACCGACAGTCAAGAAACCCCAACCAAGAAACTGCCAGAGAAGCCAACAGCGAACAGCCCAACCAAAGAATCTCTAAGACCATCTCCACCTACACTGACGGACAAGCCAACAGAATATGAATTGACAGCAAACTGTGCTCTTTACTAGCACCGATGATGCTACCTAGTTTGGGTAATGAAACATTTGCAAGAAAACAAACAAGCTCACAGAGCACCCTCATCTATTGAGCATTTTGGAAGAAACAAGCAAATATTGTTTGCTCAACTCCCTAAAGAATCTTCGTGCTTTTAATACTTCTTGATAGGTTTAAAAGCCACACTCAGTGTTTGGAGCGTATCAAAGAGACGGGCTGATGCACTTCCTTTTCACTCACTTTTGAAACTAGCAACCAACCACAAACACAGGTGAGCATTTCCTTAGTGAACAGCACATAAAAACCTAGCAGCCATTCTGCACCGTACAACCCTCCCTTGAAGAAGTCAGCCGTTAGAATTTGAATTGCAGACACACACACACACACACACACACACACACACACACACACACACGTGGAACCAGCCATTGGCCTGAAGCTACTTTGCCAGCTCTTGCAGAAATATGAATTCCAAAATCAAACACAACCATAGCCCACTGCCTACTGTGGAAGATGAATTTGCCAAATTCTTTCTGCCACTACAGTCAGTCCTCGACTTACGATCCATAACTGAGCCCAGAATTACAGTGGTAAGTCACGGCGGCCGTTGAAGCAAATTACCACATGACTGGGAGCCGACTTTTAAGATTTTATCTGTGGCGGTTGTTTAAGCGAATGGGCCAGATAAGAGAATGTGGGGATCAAATCCTTTATATTCAGTGAGGATTTTTTTTTTTGCCAGAAACTAGACGCAATCACCCAAAATTGGCAAAACTACATCGTCCCAAAAGTGCGTTTTTGAGGAGGCAACTGGATTTCTTCAAAGAAAAAACAAGATAAGTCCAATTGCCTCCTGAAAAAAAAACACCTTTGGGACAACCATGACCTGGATGACTGAGAATCTCTATATACTTTTAGCTATACCACTTGGGATGACCCCCTTTGAATGGTGTAGAAAAAAGGAATGGATTTTCAGAGAAAAATTGCAGACTGCAGGAACCAGCACTACTCAGGTGACCCTGAGGACACAGATAAACCTCCAAGTGCTTCAGCGACCCTCTCAAAGGATGCAAATGACCAGCTGTCTGCAAGGAATATAAATCCTTCCCTTCCCCACTATCCTGTCAGAGCTGAAGAAGCTTCTTGGATAAGAAGTGAAACGTCTTCAAAAGAAAAAATAAGAAAGTCCAGTTGCCTCCTGAAAAAAACACTTTTGGGACAACCATGACCTGGATGACTGAGAATCTCTACAGACTTCAAAGCCACATCGAAAATTGTGGTTGTGTGATTGTGGGATGCTGAAAAACAGCCATAAACCAACCCAGTTGCCAAGCACCCAAAATGCAACCACATGCCCATAAGGGGTGGATGTTGGAACTCTGGAACTGGGTCATAAGTGCCTTTTTGGAGATCTATTGTAACTTCGACCAGTCACTAGATGTTAAGCAAGGACTATCCATATTTGTTTCCTAATTGGCAGAGACCATCTATATACATTTCCACAGACTTACCGGTTTAACGCTCTCAGTTCTTTGATAAGGGAAGTAGAACTATCAGTACTGTGATATAATTTCATAAACCAATCTATGTAGAACACTAAACTCCTATTCCCCCCCCCCAATCATTCCAAAGAGTTAAAAATGAAAAAGAAAATTAGACACAATTGTCTCTTCCTAAAATCAATGTAAATTAAGCTACTGCAAGAAATACTGTTTAGGTCATAAGTTCCAGACATATTCATGGCTGCAAGGAATGGGAATAGTTGAACAAACATTGGGTGTCAGAGGCAAGATAAAACAAATGTTTTGAGCCATCTTGTGCTACATCCTTTCTTATTCTCTTTTCTATTGCTGACATCTAGTGGCAAAATTTAACTATGCGGCTTCAGATTGGTGCAAGAAGCTAATGACTATAGAATATGTTAGTTAATAGGGCTGTTTGAAGATATTAAAAGCAACCCTCTAAGAGGTCAATTCTCTTCAGTGTGAATAAAGCATTAATGTTTTTTTTGAATATGAATGGCAATAAAAGCAATTGAAGTAAACACAAAGCAGGAACTTTATAAATAATAGGCAAGAGTTTATTTAGAGAGATTTTAAAATACCCACAAATCACAGTTCATTTTCTGTTCCTTCCAATATTCTCTAATAGAATGGATAACTAGCTAGCTACACCTATAGCATTTTTTTAAAATTATTCTGACATCAATGACATTTGCATTTGGACTTGGGGTGACATGATAGCAGTATTTCAGTATATGAGGGACTGCCACAAAGAAGAGGGGGTCAGCTTATTTTGCAAAGCACCAGAAGGAAAGACAGAAGGGATGGAAACTAATCAAGGAGAGAAGCAATCTGGAATTAAGGATAAATTTCTTAACAATGAGAACAATTAACCAGTGGAACAGATTTCCTTCAGAAGTTGTAGGGGCTTCATCACTGGAGGGTTTTAAGAAAAGACTGGACAGCCACCTATCTGAAATGGTATGAGCAAGGAGACCTCCCTTCCAGCTCTAATCTATTCTATATAGGATTCATTTTTACTAGCATGTCAACTGTATCATAAAATGCAAACTACGCTGCATCGCATTTAGGTAAATAGGATTTACAGCAATTCCTAATATTTGTGAGAAATCATATGTGATATCTTATGGTCAGCATCTTTTGCTTTTTTAAAAATGCATTACAATAAATAACTAAATACTTAAAGAGTCATGGAGAGTTCATTATTCTGTGTAGTAAGAGCTGTAGGGAAAACCATGTAAAAGAAAATAGCACATTAAAAATGGAAAAGGTGTTTTATCTACTCATTTATTTATTTATTAAGAAAAGGTTCTTATGCATTAAGGTTGTATTATGTGTCACTTAAGAAAGAACGACCCTGCATTATTAACTGTTTTAAAATCAGCTTCCAGATACCATCCCCGAACCAAATTTAGGTAACAATTGTCACTGCAAAAACGAAACAAAGAACAAGGGTGGTTCAGCAAGGTTGGCGGGAGCAACAAGCATCTACAGTGTTAACAAAACAACATTCTCACCTTCAGCCAGTGCTGCTCTGTTTTTGTTCCCAATCTAAAAATATAAAAAGAGGAAATGAAACCATGTCCAGTCAGTTTTCAACTAACACTTCATCTGTTTTTCCCCCCAAACAGAACGTATTTTTAGTCACACCCAAGTCCCCTTAGCAAATACACTAAGGTCTAACGGAAGCTTACAGCAAGTTCTATGTATCAAATATTAGCACATTTTCTATACTCAATGTATTCAATGTCCTAAATATAATTGCACATACAGTCAAAATATTAAAAACAGGAGTGGATTTTTGCAGATTTTTCTACCTCGAAAGAATACCAGTCTGGCTGTGGAGGGGTGACAGTGTTACAGTGCTTATCCGCCAGCATAATTCTGATTTGGAATGCATTTGGATGTAATCTAATCACGCAATTACTGAGCTTAAGCAGAAGGTCTTAATGCTGATACCATCAACACTTGGTCACATATCAGGATGTGAAACCAGCATATGAAATAAGGATGCAAATAAAGGCTAAGTCATTTCTCCTCTTTCTCCAGCTTCACCGTCTGCAATACGACAGAGACTTTGCCGGCATGTAGGGCACCTGTTATTTTTCACACTGTTCAAGTTTAGTATACATCACGGAGACTTTAAATGGAACACGAAAAAGTATGGCTGAGAGGTATAAATCAGCTCATAACATGACAAGATAACTATTTATACAGATGTCCTAAGCACATGGTGAGGCGGCCATCTAAAACATCTCACTGCACATGATCTAATATATACTATATGAAGAACCACAGGGGTAGTTTATGTCTGGGAGAACTGACGTATAGCAAAAGTGGATTAAATAGACAAACCATTAGTACATGCAGCTGGAACATCACATAGTAAGCTCTGAATTGCAGATCCATACAATATGGCCAAGAATCTTATTATCTATCCTGCAAGGGAACTTGGACTGAAACCTGCTTGTTGGTCCTTCATATCTACTTCGTGACAAAAAGAGAATCCGAATCCATTCAAATTTTCCCTCAGTAATTGCACTGTATCGACACTAGAAAGAATGTTGAGGCAGTAATTGAGTATGTCAAACATTAAGATTTAAGGAAGAGGTATAAAAAGCACTGGATATTTCTTTAATCCAAGAGGAAATATTACTATATATTAGCTGGTATGTTAAAAAGCCATAATTGCTTTTAAAGGGTTTAAGTACCATCCTTTTTTTTTTTTAAGTTTCTATTTAGTTTCAATTTTCCTATTTAAGTTTAGGACCTGTTTTAAATGTAAGGTATTTAGAAAAGATTGATAGATTACCTTTAATCCTTACCATAGCTATCAAGAAAGATTGACGAGGTGGCCCCAATAAGAGATTACTTTCAGCTACCTCCAAAAATTTGTTGTCCTACTTGCCATAAGAAAGGTATCTGGATGGAACATACTATATATTATCAAGGAGTTCTCCTTGACAAAATGTACTATCAGGTTGATCGTATCTGGCTCTACCACCTCATGCAATTTCAGATCTGGCACTGACACTTGGAAAACCATGGTTATCTTGATGGATGGACCATTCAGAATGATTTCCAAGGGGCTTTGATATCACTGACCATGCTGTTATTTAAATCTCAGCCATGACATTTTTTGTATATGTGCTTTACTTAACCCAAATGAGTTTTTTCAAGAAGCAACTGGACTTTCTGTTTTTTTTTCTTCTTTGAAGATGTTTTGCTTCTCACCCAAGAAGCTTCTGCATGAACTGAAGAAGTTTCTTGAATGAGAAGTGAAACAGATTCAAAGAAAAAGTTGCCTCTTGAAAAAGCACCTTTGGGACAACCATGACTTGAATGACTGAGAATCTCCATAGACGTGTTTTACTTAAATGTTAGATAAGCTGCCTGGTCTTGGTGACTCCAAACAGCCTGCCTCAGAGCCTTCCAGATATAGTTGCAATTCCAACGTTAATCATAAACAATGAACAGGGATGTGGCCTTCTTCAATTTCCCAGTCCAGGATTCTCAGCCCTGAGATTTATTTGACGACAGCCTTCTGAAACAATGAAGACTATCTGGTCTCCCTCCATCACACCTGTTATGGAGAGCACAGTGCGGATGAGAGGAAAGATGCAAATTTGGGATTGGAGCTAAATAGAGATATTATATTTATGCAAGCATTATGGTGTAGGCCTAGGAATATTCAGGTTGAAAAAGTCCAATGATAGACATGGAAACTCATTGAATGAAGTGAGTGGCATTAGGCTAGCTATTACACAGGATTGTTTTTGTGGGAAATACATATTTATGAATACATCGATCCGGAGTTTTGTTATCAGCTACAGAGGACTTCAGGAAAGCCTTGCCAGCTGCAGAAGAAATGGGCTGACAAAACAGATGTCAGGATGTGCAAGGCCTGTGCAAGGTAACTAGTAGGGCAGCTCCACCCCCCACATCCTCACCCTAGCTTAATTTTTACCTTTGCACTCTGGAGTGGGCGGGATCTTAATTAGGGCTTATTTTAGGGGGGGGTTAGGGCTTATATTGGGCGCACATGTAAAAATCAAGTTAGGACTTACTTTCAGGATAGTTCATATTTTCGGGGAAACAGGGTATCAGCCTTCTGAACTGAATCCCGGACACAGAAGCTTTTCATCTGGTCTTATTTATTTATTTTTTTGAATCTTTTCTATTTCAAAGTGAAGAGTAAGAGATACTCCAGATGGTTTTTCCTCCCGCCTATTATGCATCTCAGATCATTTTAAAGCATTTCAGAATCCAAACCACAATGGCTCATCATATATTAAGCAAGAAATCAGTTAAAATCTCCACTGCTGCTTGCAACTGGGAAACTGAGAACCGAGACCTGTTGGATAAATCCCTGTCCTCATGAGGACTGGTGGATGAACCCAATGTTGCTGACCCTTCATGATGCATCAGTGCGAATTATAGTCTCAATTATCTAAATCTGTCAACTGCACAAATCAGGTGCCTAGAATTCCTCATTTTAGCTTGCTCAGTTTTTAACTTAAAAGTCATTTGCAATGCAACATATGCTTTGCCACAGATAAGTGAACACACAAGAAACAAAACTGCACACACCATCATATATTCCCCTACTCTATACAGCTGGCAGCCCAATTAGACATATTTGCTGAATTCAAAGACCACCAACCAACAGGCACACATCAAATGTCCCCGCATTTTTTATTTTATCAGAATTGCTCCATGAAATACTAAATCACATTCTGCTAGATCGTTGCTATACCTTTATAACAGAATCCCTTCACTGCACCTGTGAAAATTATAAATCATAACAATGCTCTTACACACAGAAAATGTATTTCAGAAACCCCTGCTTTTTGGAGAAGTCAGCTTTCTCCAACATGGAAAAAAAAGGCAAAAAAGGTACTTAGCCCATAAAAGTATTAATTAATTCAGACTTTGAGTTAGTGTCTGCCAGGTATCTGGAGATGTGACAGTCCAAGAAAAAAAAATTCAGAAAACTATCTTGTTTCCAAACCCTTCCTTTACTTTTATTTTTTATTAGTATTTTTTCTTTACATCAGAGGCAAAACACTTTCCTGTACAGTACTGCTATCCAGTTTAATGTCCCAAATGGATTTCTTCAAAGCTACGTGAAAGACAAGTCACTGTGTGAGAACAGTAAAAATTCTATACATGGAAGACAATCTATAGAGAGCAGCTCCCAAATGCAAGGGCAGGAATCTATTTATAGGGTTGTTTCCATCTGCTGACTTTTGATCCAGAAATTGGGGGATCTGCTCTTTCCCTATGGAAGCAGGAGAGATATTGGCAGCAGGATTTATATAACTCTACCTGTAGTGCAGGGCTGAGCAAGCTTTCGCTGACAAAGAGCCATATTTAACATCTTTTGTATGGCTGGAGGGCACAGTGAGTGGTTTCATGATGTCAAGTGGATGGAAATAAGATTTTATGGCAATTGGTGAGAGGAGTTTTGAAGTGTCTCTTTATTAAACCATACTAAGCCAATTCCAGGACTGATCTCAAGAGTTTCTGAGCAGCTTTTTCTTCAGAGCTGCAAATAAAGTCATGGTTTTTATGGTACAACTTTGGTTCTAAGTATCTTCTAGGCCTGCAAAAAAAATAAACGAGGCTGTAGACTTCATATGTCCTTGGGAGCCTCAGACTGCTCACATATATTATCAGTGATGCTTAAAAATAAGTAGTGCAGGCATCGTATAGTATAGTGCGGTTTTCCTATACAGGTAGGCCTCGACGTACGGCCACATTTTAGGCCAAAATCTATATTGCTAAGTGAGAAATTTGTTAAATGAATTTTGCCCCCATTTTACAACATTTCTTGCCATAGCTGTTAAGTGAATCACTGCAGTTGATAAAGTTAGTCACCTGGTTAAGTGAATCCGGATTCCCCATTGACTTTTCTTGTCAAAAGGTTGCAAAAGGGGATCCTGTGACCTTGAGACACAGCAACGGTCATAAATATGAACCGGCTGCTGAACATCTGAATTTTGATCTCATGATCATGGGGATGCTGCCGAGGTCGTAACTGTGAAAAGCAGTCGTAAGTCACATTTTTCAGTGCCATTGTAACTTTGAATGGTCACTAAATGAATAGTTGTAAGTCAAGGATTACCTATACTCAGTGGTGGGATTCAAAAACTTTTACTACCGGTTCTGTAGGCGTGGCTTGGTGGGTGTGGCTTGGTGGGCGTGGCAGGGGAAGGATATACTGCAAAATCCCCATTCCCTCCCCTCCCCACTAACCTGCTTTCCAGCTCCGTTCTCCTGTGCAGGGCAACAAAAGAAGACCCAGACAATCAGCTGGGACTCAAGAGGCAGAGAATAGATGGGGGCAGGGCCAGTCAGAGGTGGGATTTGCCAGTTCTCCAAACTACTCAAAATCTCTGCTACCAGTTCTCCAGAACTGGTCAGAACCTGCTGAATACCACCTCTGCCTAGACTGCTCAAATGCCAAAGAGTTCTGATAAGCAAACAAGGAACTACGTGCAGGCATTGCAATAGGCTGAGGGAAAGGATGTCCCAGAGGCCGTGTCTTTAGGGAAGTCCACTGCAAATTGAATATTTTTGAGTCATTACCGTAATTCCGTCTCCATTAACTCTGCTTCAGTTTTTTTTTTTAAAAAGCCTAATTTGCAAAACATCTAGAAAAGTGTGTAACCTTTTAAGAATTTGGGATGGGTTTTTGCAATGTTGCGGCCTCTAGTATTGGATGTAGATTCAGGTAAATTAAGCGATGTTCTTGATATTTATTCCTGTTGCTTAGGAATAAATATTGTTCACTTTATTTATTTAATTTTTACCTGGCTTCCAGCAAAAGTAGTAGTTCACAGATTAAAAAAAAACAAATGAACAGAAAATAATGATTAAAACAAAGAACAAAAGACAGCTCAAACCAGACAACCACCAAAGCCAACTTAGAATGTTGAGAAGTTTTGATCTTTACTTCATACAATTATATTTTTAATGTGATTTATGGATGTCAAATATGTCTGGTAGCTTTGTAAGCTGCCTGTAAGACTCTGGTCATTTAAGATGCCTGTGTTGTGGCCCAACAGCGGCCAGTGGAGCTGGCAGCAGATTCGGACAGTGAGAAGGTTCAGCCCTGGAGTCTGGGGAAGGCTCTGACGAGTGCTCTGTGTCAGAGGTAGAGAAGGGGCCAGGGCCATCTGACAGTTATCAGCTACCTGTAGAGTTAGATATCAGTGAGGCAGAAGAACAGCTGGAGCCTGTTTCCAGTGAGCGCATGCACAGAGTTGCCAGAAGAAGGGAATAACTGAGGAACAAGGACCGACTTGGGAGTAAAGCCACAGGTGGACGGTGAATGGCCCCTCCCCTAGGGAATAAAAGAGGAGCAAAAGAGGAGTGGGGTTTGGCGGGAGACAATTAGTTCATTCCAGCATGCTTGCCAAGTATTGCGGCGTCCGAATGATATCGGCCTGACCATTCTCCAAGCCTGATAAAGACTGTTGGCCAGGACTTTGTTGGAGTGGAAATTCATTGTAAATTAAATAAAAGGGATTCATCGGGACGAGGAGTCGGCTTTGTGCTGTTGGGGAAGCCTAGGTCAGAATAGCTTGTAAGACCAGTAAGTAAATAAGATCTGTTAAAGAGATCCACTGGCCGCTTGCTTTTAAATGATCATTTCCAACTACGATCAATTGACAGCAAATAATTTCTGAAAACAAGAAACACAACTGTTATCTTATTCGCATGTAGAGAACTGAGTAAGTACCTCGGTTCCTATGGGTCCAATCAGAAGAATTTCACACGAAGCCACTCAAAGATACATTTGGTCCAAAAAGAGGACCCTTCCCCAAATTAGGTTTACAAATAATCCTCAATTTACCACAGTTCATTTAGTGACCGTCAGAGTTACAACAGCACTGAAAAAAGTGACTTTATGGCCGTTTTTCAAAGTTTAAACCTTTGCAGCATCCCCACAATCATGTGCTGAAAATTCAGAGGCTTGGCAACTGGTTCATTCTTATGACCGTTGCTGTGTCCCAAGGTCATGTAACAACTTTTTGCGACCTTCTGACAAGTCAAGTCAATGGGGCAGCCAGATTCACTTAACTGGGTTAGTAACTTATCCACTGCCGTGATTCACTTAACAACTGTGACAAGAAAGGTCATAAAGCGGGGCAAGACTCACTCAACAAATGTCTCACTGAGCAACAGAAATTTTGGGCACAATTGTGGTCGTACGTTGAGGACTACTATATTTGAAAAGCAAGAACCAGCATGTGTATCCTCATCTGCCTTATCCTTAGATATCCTGGGAGAGCCATTCTACAAATGCTTCTTTGCTACCCTGACAAGAGGCAGTCTTAACCCACCACACACACACAAGCCTATTTGGGGTTTGCTTCACAAAAAAACACTAGGAACTGTTCGACCAAATCTTACATTTACTTATTTCTTTTCCCTTTGCCGTTGCTTCCTCTTTCTGAAAACCAAAGTAGCAGAGCTGAAAATTACCCTTTAAGGCAAATTTCCAGGGGCAATGCAAACCCCTAGTTTTTTTTTCTTCAGATGCAATAATGTAAAACAGCCAATGCTGTGCTGTGGCAAAGTCAGAAACCACAACAGTGAGGCGGAGGGGGAAATGGACGTTGAAAACACTTGAGTCATATGTGGCCAGTGAGATCCTGCATTGCCATAAACTGCTTTGCCTGTGGGGGAAAACCCCACTATATCCTGTAGGTCTCCCAGAGTGGAAGGTAATATTCTCTTCAACTTTTGGGAAGTTACATTTCCAGATATATGCTCAGCTATTCATCAAGTGGCAACACTGCATTTGGTTTGCAGTATAAACAAGTATTCACTTATCAAAATTATCCTCAAGTTAGATCTAGTTATCTAATATTCCTAAACTAGAACAGAATGCAACCATTCAGCCAATAATTAAACTATATATTAAAAGGAAGTCCTGCATAGGTAAACAACTCTAATTTAATCATTCATGCATCTCAAAAAAAGAATTGGAAGGAGATAAGTTGGAAGAAGATTGCTATTGACAAGGCAAATAGAATTGTGTAGAATTGGTGTAGCCTGATTTCCCCCCCGCCCTTTTCAAGAAGGAACAATCCTGCTTTCTAATACAGCGGTCCTCAATGTTCCCAGGTCTCTGGCCCAGCCCAGGAGGGATGGGCGGGGGGAAAGAGGGATCATTTAATGTGTACATGCGCCACTTGCACAAATGCAGTTTTGTGTGCTTGCACCCTCGCCTGCTACTTGTGCGGCCCAGTTCCTAACGGGCCGTGGCCTGACACCAGGTTGCAGATTGGGGGTTGGGAACCCCTGTACTAATGGGAATTGAAGTCTATATACTAGGTTTAATCTGTAACTTTAATCAGTATTTGAAGTCTTTCACACAGGTTTTTTTTTTAATTGATATGAACATCTTAAATATACGTACCAGGTAAACTATGTCTTGAAACTTCTATAGACACTTACTCCTTGCACGGAAGATGCACCAGCTGTTGTATGAAGCCTGGAAAAAAACAAAAAACAGTAAAACTAAAACCATTCATCTAAAGACCTGTCTGGTGTGTACTGTTGCTACTTCAAATAAAATATGTGAGGTGTATATGCAGATTTACAAAGTAAAATCCCCACAATTAATTGGTAGTGTAATGAGCAGACTCAATGGAGAACAGAGGTCTTCATTTCTATACTACACAAATGATAAACCCTCAAGTGATTTACATTAGATAATGTTCTGTTTATTTTGTCAAATAAACTGTGAAGATAATATGACCTTGATATAGATTCTGCTCTTGAAGAGTTTACGTATTTGACTGTCGTAATTACTTCTTTTCCACTACTTCTTTTTATCCAGAATGTTAAAAAGTAGTCCAGAGAGAAGGATTACTTCCTCTTTAGAGAAGCTAGGTGGAGTAGATTCACACAAGGTCGCTGAACTTGAATGCTTCACAGGAAGGGAAGGGAAGTTATCTGAAATATTCATGGTCACAGTAGCTGACTCTTATTCCAATCTTTCATGGCAAATATTTTCAGAGTGACAACTGTATCATGCAACCAAATCTAAAAGCAGAGATTTAAGAAATACACAGTATAGTGCACAATTTCACAAGTCCCACTTCTTCCTCTACAATCGGCTTTCCCAGTTTGCCGTGATAAATGCGCAAAGACAATAACGATTTAAAAAAACTAAAGAAAACTGGATCTTTAAAGAAAAAAATAACACAAGCTTACCTTAAATTTATAATACAGGACACCAGGGACTTGCTATGTGAATGAGAAATCTGTATTTTCTGCCATGTTACCTTTACTACCCATACAATTCATTTAAGGCATTCACTTAATAAAATACTTAAAGTAGGAATGTCTAATCTCAGAACTTTCAGACTTGTGGACTTCAACTCCCAGAATTCCGCAGCTACCAAGAATTATTGCAAGTTCACACATCTGGAATTGGTTCAATTTGGGAAACATTAAATTTACTCCAGTACTAATCAGAAACAAGTAACAAGCTGGCTGCTCTCAAGAGCTGTCAAAATCAACTCATGGTCAGAGAAAATGTATTCAATGCATTGGCGTGTTACTATAATGACTGCATTTACAAATAAATACATCTAGTTAACTTTTTCTTAAAGGATGTTTAAAGATGTTTTCTTGCTTGAATAACAGAGTTGGAAGGGACCTTGGAGGTCTTCTAGTCCAACTCCCTGCTTAGGCAGGAAACCCTACACCTACCCTGTTTCTCCAACAATACGGCCTCCCCCAATAGAAAGTCCCAGCATGTTTTAAAGGCATGAAATGAAATTAAGCCCCTCCCCCAAATTAAGGCCTATATTAAAACATGCGAAATGGGGGGGAATGGTGAGGGGGGCTTGCCGTTAGGAAGTACTTTTGTTGCACACCTGGATATGGTGCTGCCTGCGTTGACCCCGATACGAAGTGCCCCACCAACGCCGAGGTCAACATCCAAGCCATCGCTGCCCGCCTGCCCGAAGATGCAAGGGGGGGAATTAAGTGACCCCCGAAAAGACAGCCTAGCCATCTTTTTGGGGCTCAAAAAAAAATAAGACCCGGCCTTATTATATGAGAAACACGGTATTAATATCACCTATAAAGTGATATTAACACTTGTGTTTATTTTCATGGTCATCATGTACACTGAAGGTGTTTGATTTCATTGTACAAGGTGCAGTGACAATAAAGTAAAGTAAAGTAAAGTAAAAAAGTGAAGTGAAGTGAAGTAAAAGTAAAGTAAAGTAAAAGTAAAGTAAAGTAAAGTAAAAAGTAAAGTAAAGTAAAAAGTAAAGTAAAAAGTAAAGTAAAGTAAAGTAAAAAGTAAAGTAAAGTGAAGTAAAGTAAAAAGTAAAGTAAAAAGTAAAGTAAAATTAAAATTAAATTAAATTAAATTATTAAATTAAATTAAATTAAATTAAATTAAATTACACCACTTCTGACAAATGGTTATCCAATTTCTTCTTAAAAATTCCCATGTTGGAGCATTCACAACTTCTGGAGGCAAGTTATTCCACCGGTTAATAATTCTAACTGTCAGGAAATTCCTCCTTAGTTCGAAGTTGCTTCTCTCCTTGATTAGTTTCCACCCATAGCTTCTTGCCCTGCCCTCAGGTGCTTTGGAAAGACTCCCTCTTCTGTGTGGCAGCCCCTGAGATATTGGAACCCTGCTATCATGTCTCCCCTGGTCCTTCTTTTCATCAGACTAGACGTACCCAGTTCCTGCAACCGTTCTTCATATGATTTAGCCTCCAGTCCCCTAATCATCTTTGTTGCTCTTCTCTGCATTCTTTCTAGAGTCTCAACATCCTTTTTTACACTGTGGCGACCAAAACTGGATGCAGTATTCCAAGTGTGGCCTTACCAAGGCATTATAAAGTGATATTAAACTTCATATGAACTTGATTCTATCCCTCCATCCTGCTTAAAGATCAACATAATCCACCTTCCCCCCCCAAAAAAAGAAAAATTGTGATACAATATTTTATAATGCAGCATTTCACTGTAGAATCTCCCAATTCTAGAATTGTAAGGCTCCATTCTCAATGTCATTCCTTGAGGGGAGATGAACACGTGGCCCCTCCAAATTCTGCTTCACTGCATCTTCACCGCAGTTACCAGCCCCCATTAACATGCCAGGGTCAGTGATCTAAGCTTACCAATTTCTGGAGGGACGCATATTCCCCACCCTGCCTTACGGGAACCAAGTGTTGGTACCATTTGTTGGTAACTGAATCCCGCATTATTCCAGTAATGTTTGAATGATTGGAACACATGGGTGTATTACCCAAGTCAGCAAGGGCTGGGCTGGGGATACAGCCTATGAATAATAGCTATGCAACTGCATTACTCAGCTAAAATTGTTAGCAATCCATCCCGATGAAAAGTAGCAACCGTGACAAGTGGAAAGATCAATTAGGCCTTGTTTTCACCAGTGTTTAAGTCTGACACCGTTCAGTCCCGTTTGCTGGAGACTTTATTATGACATAAGCTTTCAGGAACCTGTGACCATTTTGCCAGCTGCTGCATCGGGTGTACTATGCTGAGAAAAGAGCTTATGTGCGCTAGGGGAATGCAAAACAGTTCAGGAGATCGCTGGTGGTTTCTATCAGAAGGCAAATATGACGGCACCAGACTGAGTTCTGTCTACCCTAAAATCCAGCCCTTTATATTTGGTCCTCAACTTAGAACCGTAATAGACTCTGGAATTTCCTTCGGTTGTTAAGTCAGGGTATCGAATGTGCCCAACCTGATTACACAACGTATTCTGGGACAGTCATTAAGCAAAACCCATGGTCTGCAATGAGCATTTTTGTCAGGCACAAAAATAAATGCCAGTTTCCGCAAAAACCACCGAACAACATGGTCACGTGACCAAGGGATGCCGCAAATGGCTTTAAACGCAGGCCAGGTGCTGGGAGCCGAAAAATCATGTGACCGTGAAGGGGGGGGAAGAGTCACAGCTTCAAACCCGATTGTATGTACCCTTTTGGGAGAGTCTGCAGAAACCTCAAAGGCTAAATGGTTGGTTGTAACTCGTAAGTCGAGGACTACCCGAAGAGTGTCCCCACCTGGTGGAATTCCACCCATCAAGATACTGCTTGAACAGTGGGTGATTCTGCAGGACAAGGCATCTATTTGGGCGTCTCCGTAACTCCCAGAAGCAGACATTGGCAGCCGAGGCAACTGATGCCCTTTCCATGGGGAACCTATTTAAGGGCAAAGATACTCCCAGGAAAAATAGGACTTCCAGGACCAGGCGACCTGAATTTACAGTCTCAAAGGTGCTTTTTTCAAGAGGCTACTTGACTTCCTGGTTTTGCTTTGAAGACGTTTCACTTCTCATCCCAGAAGCTTCTTCAGTTCAGTTCAGTTCTTGGATGAGAAGCGAAACGCCTTTCAAAGCAAAACCAGAAAGTCAAGTGGCCTCTTGAAAAAGCACCTTTGGGTGACTTGAGAATCTCCACGGACATCTGACTTTACAGTGGAGTGATGGAGAAACTGATGCCTCTGAGTTCCAAACAAAAGCATTTGTGCTCATCAGCTACTGCGATTCAAGGTTGAAGCGTATAACCAACCCATGCTCACAATATCCCTCCAATGGGGACCTCCTGATCACGGGAGGATGGAACCATCTTGAGACATGGGACAGCATTTGTCCGGAATGGTGAAGGATCTCCTGCTTGGGGAGGGGGTTGGACTAGAAGGCCTCGAAGGTCCCTTCCAACTCTTGTCGTTTGTATTCGTTGAGCAAATATTCCCTCCCAGCAGCAATTAAGTTCCAAATGGGATTCTTCCAACATTCCAAGCCCACCAATCTCAACCTGGGGCAGCAAACCAGAAAAGAGGCCCTGTTAGCTAACAACCAACAGTGCAGAATGGCAGTTTTACATGCAAAATGGGACATTTCTTGAAGTTTCACACTTGAAATGGTTCTAGACTAAACATTTTGCATACCCCAATGTTCAAATATAGATTTGGATATTGACATTTTTCCTCTTTGCATTTGATCAATATTTACAGAATATATTCAGCTCTCATTGTAGCAGTCAGATTTTGAAACATCTATCTATCCATCCATCCATCCATCCAGGGGTGGGATTCAAATTTTTTAACAACCGGTTCTGTGGGCATGGCTTAGTTGGTAGGTGTGGCTTGGAGGTCATGTTATTGGCTGGATGTGGCCAACTCAATATCACTCATATTGAGGCATGCATCTCCTCACCTGGCCTCTCATGACTGTGGGGATGCTGCAACAGTCGTAAGTGTGAAAAATGGTCATAAGTCACTTTTTTCAGTGCCATTGTAACTTTGAATGGTCATTCCACACAAGCAAAGTACCAGCAAAGGAGGGGGAAAAAAACTCCAGAGAAGTTCCAGAGACAGGAAGTCCAGTCCTGCAAAGAATGTAATAAGGGTTAATGGAGAGGCAGTTTCTGTAAGCAACTCCAGAATGTTTCCTTCCTGCCTTCCTTACAGGATTAGGCCAGTAATTTC